CAAATGCAATGATTTGAACGGTTCTCGTGGTTGGTTTACACGAGTACAGGGCAACAAGGAGCTTTATGCAATTATTGTGTATTATTTGCCAGAGATTGCGTAGGTAAAGGCTCTCATCAGCAGTTGAAATCCTTAGTTACTCAGAAGTTCACTAAATGGAAAGATGCTGTACATGATTTCAAACATCACACTGAAAGTGCAAATTTTTATGGTGTATAATAAGTCTCAATCAAATATAATAAGTCATATTGATAACGGATAGCTAGCGCAAATAGCTGAAAATCGGAAACGGCTCATTCCAATTATTGAAACAATTAAATTATGTGGACGTCAGGAATTGGCACTGGCGTGTGACTCAGGTCCAATGAAAATCAATGATGCTGAGCCAGAAACAAATGATGGAAACTTTCGTGCTATCTTACGGATGAGAAACAGATGTGGAGACTCAAATCTCATAAAGCACACAGAAAATATGACGTTTAACGCTACCTACCTAAGCCCGACCATAAAAAATGAACTTATTGCAATTAGTGGTGAAAAAATCCAGAAAAAAATTGGATTAAATTCTACGAAATTTATTTCAATCCTTGTTGACGAAGTTACTGATGTTTTAAGACAAGATCAAATGTCCATTTGTCTATGATATGCCGAGCCAAAAGATAATGGGTTTATCTTGCGTGAAGATTTTTTAACTATTGTAACTGTTGAGAATATAAAAGGAAGATATTTAGCTAATGCAATTTTATTTGAATTAAAATCTTTGGAAGTAGATTGCGAATATTTAGTCGGACAATGGAGCTTCTTCGATGAAAGGAAGTTTTAAAGGCGTGCAGGCAGTATTCGTTAGTCACATCCTGAAGCCTTATACGTTCATTAAAGCTCACATTCATTGAATTTAGGTCTGGGTCATTCTTGCCAGGTTCAGCCTATTCGAAATACTATTGGAATTATAAAATTGGTTGGAAATTTCATCAAGTCCTCGGAAAAACGAACCAAGTGTTTAAAAGTTAATATCGAAAAAAATTCACTGAAACACAATGGAAAAACCTAACGGCAATTTGCGAGACCCGCTCGGTAGAAAATCATGATGGGTTGTTAAGATATTTTTTTTATAGAAGAGGGGGCAAAGGAGCATGCGGCTTATCTGATGTTAAGTGACTACCGACGTCCATGATCAACCGCAACACCTGGGGAATTGTAGGTGCGTTGCCGGCCCTTTAGAAAGGAGTAAGCTCTTTTCTTGAAGGTCCCCAAGTCGTATCGGTCCGGAAAAATCACCGGTGGTAAACTATTCCACAGAGAGGTCGTACGCGGAAGAAAACTCCTTGTGAAACATACAGTGGTGGACCGCCAAGCATCCAGATTGTGTGGATGATACCGGGACGTTTGCCGCGTAGTGGGTTCATGAAATTTGGCGGCTGGGATTAATCCGAACAATTCCTCAGAGTATATGCGAAAGAAAATGCAAAGAGATGCAACACCTCTTCGCAGCGCCAGTGAATCGAGCCGATCGGAAAGCACTCGGTCGTCGACGACTCGAGCAGCTCAGCGCTGGATGCGGTCAAGTGGAAGGTGCTGGTACTGGGGAGCCCCAGCACAGAGATGGGAACAGTATTCCATGTGCGGCCGAACCTGCGCCTTGTAAAGTTGCAGGCGGTGTGCCGGTATGAAATACTGTCCTACTCTGCAGAGCACGCCAAGCTTTTTAGAGGCCAATTTGGCCTTCTCTTCCAAGTGACCACGAAACTGCACGTCACTCGATATGTCGACGCCGAGGATTCTGACACTGTCTGAGGCAACAAGGGGAGTGCTTTGAAACTGAGGAGATACGACAAAGGAGTTCTTTTTAGCGGTTAAAGCGCAAACTTGTGTCTTCTGAGGGTTAAACTGGACTAGATTTAGTCACCCCAATCCAAGACACTGTTCAGCAAAGACTCGACTTAAGAAACAAGTTTGTTCCGGTACTCGGAGACGTTTTCCCGAGAAATATTGGCACGGCATAGCAATGAATGTTACGGGTTTGCAACAAAACATTGATATGCAGAAGAAACAGCGTTGGCGATAGCACGTAGCCTTGTGGAACACCAGCATTGATAGGCTTGTAATCTGAACTTGCACCGTCTGGAACGAACTTGATACTCCGATCTGCACGAAAGCTGGTGATCCAATTGCACAATTTCTCGGAAAGCCCATAGGAAGGGAGCTTCGAAACAAGCGCTTTGTGTCAAACCTGATCGAAGGCCTTCGCTATGTCCAAACTAACGGCCAATGCCTCCCTTCCCTCTACTTCCTCCCTTAGACTCTACTGCCTCCGCCGATCTGTGAGTTAGGTAGACCAGAAGATCACCATCTGACCGACCACCGCGAAGACCGTATTGGCGATCACTAATCAGCTGGTGATCCTCAAGGTACCTCATGAGCTGGCAGTTTACAATGGACTCCATTGTTTTGGAGAACAAGGAGGTGATGGCGATAGGCCGGTAGTCGGAGGGGTCTGATTGGTCGTCTTTTTTAGGGATCGGGTGGACGAAAGCTGTCTTCCATGATTTTGGGACTACGCCTAGGGAGTAGGAGTACTGGAAAAGACGCGTTAAAACCGGTGCCAACTCTGGAGCACACGTCCTCAACACAATTGGGGGGATTCCGTCAGGCCCACTCGACTTGTGGATGTCCAGGATGAGGAGTGCTTTGCGAACCGAACGCTGTGTGAACGGCACTTTCGGCATGGATCACTCACATCGCGGGATGGTCGGCGGCGTACTCCCCCCGTCATCGAGAGTCGAGTTGGATGCAAAGAAAGAGCCTAGTAGATCGGCTTTCTTCTTTGGGCTATCTCCATCTTTGTGTCGTCCTCCCTGTGCAGAGATGGAAGAGATGGCTGACAGAAATTCCCCTGGACAGCCTTGGCGAGAGACCAGAATGCACGGGTTCCAGAAGGAAGACGAACTAGTCTCTCACCAATTCTGCCTATGTGCTCGGACTTTGCCTTGTCAATGACTCTTTTGAAGGAACTAGAGGCGGAATTATACTTCTTTTTTAGAGCGCTGGTTTACATACCGGGACGTTGATGCGTCAGCCCAGGCTTGGTAGCACTCCCGCTTATAGCATGATGCTATATTACAGGAGCGACCAACCCATATCTGAGATTTGCCTCCGATAGGCACCACAGAGGAAGGAATAAAAGTTCCTTACCCTGATGTACCACATCAGCGACAGTATCCGCAACAACGTTGGAGAAGCAAACCCGCCTCCAAGGATAGGATGCAAAGAAAGACCGCATCCTATCCCAATCGGCTGACCTATAGTGCCAAACACGGCGGCAGCTTGCTGAATGCAACTACGATTTCAGCGTGAGTGGCACCACACTTCGAACAAGACAATGGTTCTAGGAGCCTAAAGGGGCGTCGACGGAAATCTGATATGTCCGCGTGAAAGGTCAGAAGAAGGTCCAACAGGGAAGGTGCATGATCCTCCACATCTGGGATCCGCGTAGGCGAAGTAATCAGTTGTGTCAGACCATATGCCAAGGCAAAATCATGAACAGATCTCCCCGCATGATTGGTTGTACGTGAACCAAGCCATTCGGCGTGATGGGCGTTTAAGTCGCCGAGGATCACGATCTCTGCGGAGGGGATCTGCTGTAGCAACGAATCTGTAGCCATTTGGACGTGGTCGAAGAGTCGGTCTGTTTCGGCATTACCGCTAAGGGACCTATAGAGGCACCCGTAGATGGGCGGATGGCCGTCGCTGTCTACGCATAGCCAAAGGATGGACAGGTCCGAGCCTTCGAGACTGCCGAGGCGTCGAGAACAGATGTCCTATCTAACGTAAACGCAAACTCTCCAGCCCGAGGCACAAAGAAGTATTCCAGTTTGTACCCCGGGTAGGAGAGATACGAGACATCAGCCGGAGAGGACACTTGCGTCTCAGTCGGAAAGAGCAGAACCAGCCTTGCCGTCTCGAGATGGTAGTGGATGGCGTTTAGTTTAGAGTGAAGTCCCCTGATATTGCAGAAATTCACGGATAGCTTGGCAAGGGTCGCCGTGGTCTTGTTGCTCCGTTTGCCCCGAGCAGTTGTAGTCTTGAGCGGAATTTTGCCCCCCCCCCCCAGAATACGCGGGGCAGCCTGAGCACCCACGCTCCGCTGAGTAACTTGGTCGTGGATGCTTAGCGAGGGATTCTCCAGGGGTGCTGGTACCCTCCTGGGGTAGTTTGACATTTAATTCCGCTACCATGTTGATGGCGCGGGGGGGGGGGGGGGATTTGGGCCTCCGGTCTCACTAGACGAAGCGCAGAAACAGAGCTTCCACTTCACGCCGGTATTCTGTGAGGTCGTGGTTCTACCCCGGTTTTAGCCGGCCCATACGTGCAACAGCAAAGCTGCCGCGTGGCTCTACCACGGTTAAAAAGTTTTAAAGAAATTTGTACAGCTATTGTTGATGCACTAGATGCCTTAAGCACTGACATGGATTCTGAAACATCGTTATCAGTCATTTCAAGTGATTTTGTTATAAGCTAATGTTGCTTAGGAATGTTGTTGCCGTACACACTGACACTATGCAAAATACTTCAATCTCCCCTATGCGATTTGGCAGCAGCTTTACAACATGTCGATTTAATTATAAAGACTTTTGAAGATTTTCGCCAAAATATTGATTCAAAATTTGCTGAACTTTTCAAGAATGCACAGAATTGGCTCAGTACTGTAAACGAGGAAATGGAAATTTCGCCAATAACGCCACGCCAAGAGCCTAGAGCAAACTACAACACAAAAGATCCTGAAACTTATTTTAGAATTACTATAATAATTCTACTTTTGGATGATTTCATTGATCAGCTTCAGTCGAGATTCCAAAATCATAAAGCCACATTATCATCTCTCAACATTTTAATTCCGTCTGTGTGTTGCAAAGAACAAATTAATCAAAATTATCAAGAAAACTACTTTGAGATCTATTACAAAATATTTGAAATGGGACTTTTTAAAATCTGAATTAGACATGTGGCGGATAAAATGGGTGAAAGATTCTGAACTAGATCGACCAACAAGTGCTGTTGAAGCTCTCGGAGAATGCAACCAGGCCTTATTTCCAAACAATCATAAACTTTTAAAGATCTTGGCGACACTGCCTGTTTCTAAATGCACCTCTGACTCCACAGGCCAGGAAACACTAAACGGTTTGGCGTTAATGTAAATCCACCGCAGAATTGACATCGACAGCGAGAAGTTATTTGATCATGGAATGCCTAGTTTCCAGTAAAAAGGGTTTCCTATTCACTACAATCACCATACAAAACACGGCAGCATCAAGCTGCTATTTTTCACTGGAAATGGTGTTCGGCTGATAATTATAAAACTATTTTGAAGACATGTAAAGTCCGCCAACACGCATTGGGGCAACGCGGTGAACACTATATTGCAAAACCTCTGAGGAATGAGGACAGGCTTTTGCCCAGGAGCCAAACGCATATAGCTGTAACTTACTTGGCCGCATCACGATACGCTTTTACTGGGTAGTGAATAAGTTTGACTGATGTAATGTTCAAAAGTCTAAGGTCAAGTTTTCATGCGTTGACTTGGAAGGAACCTTGTTAAATGAACGGTTTATTCAAAGGGAAATGAAACTCGACGACCGTTTGCTCGTTGTTTGTCCTGTGCAATTTTGTTTACTGCCCTCTACAAGGTCTATTAACGTTTACCATCAGGTGGACTACAAACTGGTCTATCACACAAATATTATAAAAATGTAAATGTATAATTGTATAAATAAAAGCCATATATTTTCATTATATAAATATATTCAAAAGATGTGACTTATTCTTTAACTATACAAATGCAGTCCCCATAATAGACTTATTCTTCAGTACATAAAATATCAAAAATATTATTCACAATATATTTTTGTAAAACAACTAAGCAATGGAAGTACCAAATAATAAAATTTACAATAGATAGATTTCTAATGTTTTTGCGAACACTACACATTGAACGAAACTTTTACGTATTTTATCGCGTTTTGATAACTTTTTTTTATTTTCCAACGTTTCGAGCACTTTACGAAGTCCCAATGTCATTTAAAACCACGGCTACCTTCAGTATAAAATAGACGTTGAACACCTCAAGAGTCAGTTTAGACTAGACATGTATAAAACGGAGTTTGACCACGGGTGAAGTAAAATACTCGAAATATCGGAAATATAATTAACATTGTCACTTTAAATACAAAAAACAATTTCAACAATTACTTTTAAGACTTAACATTGAACGTGCATAAATAAATTTTATTTTTTGTTTTTATTAACAGCCTCGGGCATAGCCTTTTTAGTTATTCGAAGTCGGCTTTAACTTTTTATAAAAATATTCGTGATTACCGTATTATTTTCGTATATTCGTTCGATGTTATAGTATACAATACAAAACTAGCTTGACGTAGATCCGTTTATTAGGGGATGTTTGTTTTTTTGATCGAAGCTCTAAGTTTTTAGTGTTTCAGGTCACACTGTGTGTAAAAAATCTATATATAAAACATAATGTAACTTACATATTTCTTATATTTACGCGACCATTACACATAAAAATATAAAACTTTTTAACTTGTAAATTTCAAAATAGTTTTACACATTTCATTACAGTAACACAAAATAAGTGAAGATATATTTGATATAAAAATAAGTATCAAATGTTTTTGTTTGTATATCTCTCTATAAGTATAAACTCTATTACTATATTGTAATAAAATTTTGTTGATTTTGTAATATAATATCGATTATGTAAAATATATTTCTGTTTAACTGTTAGTAATTACAATAATGTAAAATATCTATCACTAAGGAGGCTGTCACATATGGTGCGAAAATGCATCTGTTATCTGAACACATATCTATAAAGTGACACAGATATAAATTCACAAGTGGATAAAAATATTTGCGTGTCTGCACATTTTTGTCAATCTTTGCCACATTATGCACATCAAAGCGAAGAAGAGACAAAGTCTTTTTCCCACAATCACTGCATACAATTTGCTTATATGTTTTCTTCTTCATACCTCAAGGTCTGCTTTATATAGCATTAAATACCGATATAAGATAGCCATACGTGCGCTGTATATGACAATCTTAAAAGTTTACAAATTTAAAAATCACAGCAACAGTCACCATTTTCATAATCTATATAAATAAACATCAATTGCCGCATTACATTGCGAATTTGAGGTGTACTCTGACTTCTGCTATTTTTTATAATTTTGTATGCACCATACTCAAATAAACTGCATATTTATTTAAGTTACTATGTAACTTACTTACTTTAAGTTATTACTAATGTATTGTGATAATGAGGTTACTTGACATATTGTGTACACTTTTCTTCGTATTTCGATAAATTATATGACCGTATAGATTCCTCGTAGAAGTCCCCTATACGGGACATCCACGAGCGAGGAATCTAATCTTCGGTTTTGGCCTTTACATATGTATTTAATAAATATATTGTGGTTAAAAGTTTCTTATTATTTTCTAGGCTTATCTTCAGAACGCACATACATGATGACTCAATGATCGAAGGTATTTCCGACGACGAGGATTCGATCTCTCTTACTGCTCATGCAGAAAACCTCCAAGGAGGTGAAAAAAGCTCTAGTGAGTATTCAAGTGATGATGATGTACACCGCCACATTTTGTGCTCCTCAGCCTTCTCAAAAAATCGTCGGATTTATTGGAAGCACCTAGACGACTTCGCACCATCTCCACCTAGAGTCTTCCTCTAGCAGCCATTCACGTTAGAGTATTACAAACACCGTTTGAATATTTTACCAGATACATTGCTGAAGAAATATTTGAAATATTCAGCTTCTTTTCAAATAAAACTTATTTACATATAACAAGAAAGACCATAGGATTAACAAAAGATGAAATGAAAATCTGTTTTAGCATATGTATCGCCATGAGCTATTTGGGTTTGCCAAGAATTAAAATCTATTGGATGAATAAAACTAGGATCCCAATGATAGCTGATCGTATGACTACAGATCGTTTTTTATGTATAAGGACTAACTTGAAGCTAGTGAATGATCTTGATGTCAACACGGCTGCCAAACAAAATAAGTTTTGGAAAGTGCAACCCCTAATTGGAACAGTACGAAAAGTTTGCCTAGAAAATCCCAGACCTCAGGAAGTCAGCATTGATGAACGAATAATACCATTTTGGGGCCAAGTATCAATGCTGCAGTTTATCAGGGGGAAAAAGAAGCCCAAATGTTGGAGACTCCTAAAAAAGACACTCTGGATTATTTGGAGTTTAAAGCTAAAATAGCAAATTGTTTGCTCTATTTCACTCTAGCAAGAGAGCAAATACACCTGTACCAGGAAGTTGATGATATGCCAGCAGAAGCTAGGTTTTTGTTTTGTTGTGTCTCCTTTTTCTCTCCTTTTTTTTGCCCTTTTCGGGGGGTTTGTTGTGGGGGTAAAGGGTGTCGTTTGTTCTTCTTTAAAAAATTCAAACTAGTCACAAGAGGAAATATGTCCCTCAATCCCCATTGCAGCTGAGGACAGCCATGGCAGGTCATTCACCAATGATTGATAACGAGTCAGGTGACCACAGATGCCGCTTGCCAAGTTACAAGAGCAAGAAAACAAGGATATACTTCTCAACTTGCGGCATGCATCTGTGTTTAGTCGCAGGGAATTTATAAAAAGGTAGGAGAAACGCACAGCTTTACGACTTTATTTCAATATAAGCCGTATTACGTTTTGTCACCTACGGCCAAAACTAGAGATAACTGTATGTGCGTTAAGCATAGCAACATAGAGTATATTTTCATTACTCTGAAAAACAAAAATGTAATAGACTATAAAAACTTCGAAAAAACTATCAATAAGTCGGTTTGTGACCAGACATTTAAATAGGTAGTAGTAATAGACCGGACATCAGCAACAAAATTGTCGTCTGTAACTTTTGTCCTATAGGATATATCTCCGATTTTTGTCATTTAGTTTAAGTGACATCGTCAAAAGGTCAAGACGCAGTCGTTTCATAAATTTAAAAAATATTTTAAAAGAAAATATGCCCGGTTGTGCACTAAATTATTGTAAGGTCACGATACGGAGCAAAAAATGAACGTGATTTCAGTTTATTATCGTAAGAATAATGATGTGTATTTAGCAAATAATTTTTAAATTTTATTATTTCTAGTGGACTGTTCTGAAGAAAGAAAAATTATTGTAATAAGTGCCCTCTGTTATCCAGTAACGTCACTATTTATTTATAAATATTTTAGTGATTAATGATGTGTCTACAACGGACTTTTAGCTTATGTTTAGTAGCGTCACCTACTGGGAAATAGCTAAAATATTTTCTAAATAAATATTCAGTGTAGTATTGCTATATTTCGCTAGAGGGTGTAATACATGCGCGTGGTCACAGCTTTTATATGCAAATGTTCCTAATGTCCGCTCTATAGTGTACATATATATTTAAATCTCTTTGTTTGTGACAAAACATTGCACGCTTGCATGTACAAACAATGCGTAAATTGTATAAACCGAAGCCTATAATACAAAGAGGAAAAAATGAAGACGAAATTACATGGTTAAGAGTTACGCATGCATACCAAAAAATGGAAAAAAGTAATACTACTAAGAAAACTGTGAAGCAAGTGCAGAAAGGAAATGTTTGAGATCTAGTGACAGAATTTGAAGCTGAGATTTCAAAATTTAAGAAACTAGTTCAACTGGAAAGAGCAGCAGCGACATTACCAGATATGCATTAAAAATCTGGCCATTAAAGAAATTGCCGTTTTAATCGACTTTTCCGAGAATTACGACTGCAAACTGGGAATCAAGATCCAATCGATGCAATTTGTTGCATCAAAAAATGGTATAACACTCCATTGTGGTATGATTTATTGGATTGTTAAATCACAATCGTTTGTTACACTATCTGATAATACATGTCACAAACTCAATGCCATCTGGGCATATCTATCTCTTACACAAATTACGGTTTGTAAAGAAATCAGACCCAACAATTGAAATTATTCATTTTTTTCTGACGGCCCCACATCCCAACACAGTCAGAAAAAGAACTTCTATCTCATTAACTTATATACAACCATATGGAAATTGAAATATATTACCTGGTCATTTTCGGAAAGTGGACATGGTAAGGGAGTCGCAGATGGCATTGGGGGTGTAGTTAAAAGACAGTTAGACAGGCTTATGGGCATGATGTGGCAAACGCAGATGATCGTATCAACATTTATCAACCAGCATGAAACAGTAAATAAGTTTTTAGTAGTATGGCGCACTTCCCCCGAGCCAGAAGTCGTGAACTTTTTACGATTCAGAAATTTTTGTACCCGACAGCCTCTGAATAAGTGTAATGTTTTTCTGTATTGAGAAGTTACTGTCTAGATGTGCTTAGTCTTGTGATGAAAAGGCGTTGGGTGATAGGTTTACAGTAAAAGCCTCTTATTTTTAAATAAGTAATTTTATTCGTATTTTCTTGGGATTTGCTTTTGGGACGCCACCAAAAACCAACCAACGTAGTTGTCACTTCCTTCGTTCGTTCCTTTATGCAGGTGTGCCTAAGCTCGTTAATCGGAAGCAATAATCGTAGTCAAGCTACTTTGGATAGGTTGCTGGTAAACTATCGATCCAACTGTTACTATTCAACATCAGTCTTTAAGCCATGTCAGAGGTCTTTGGGCTTCCTGAACAACTCTCACACTAGGTTGCCCACAGATTTCTCGGCAAGAAGAAGCAGTTGGATACTTACTACAACTGGTTCTAAAATTATTGTCTTTTTACAGATGGTTCGTACTTATTAAAGAAAAAGAGATAAGCCTTCTTGGTCTAGAGAAACTTTGTCAGACAGTTGACGCTGTCCAATCAGGCCTATCTGAATATGAAGAAACTAAAACTTATGATATACCTCGTAAAACAATCATGGATCACGTGACTAGGTAGACAACCAGTCTTGCCTTTCCCCCTTTCTGATTTTATGACTCAATGTAGATTGTCAATAAAAAAAACCTCAAGCAGTTGAGATAGCCCGTAAAAAAGCGGCTGACCCTTTCATCATACAAGAATTTTACGACATTGTCGAAAAAGTTAAGAGCTAGGGCTTTAAAATAAGTCAAAGAGAATATATAACATTGATGAAACAAGCTACTGCAGCGACCCTCAAAACACTAAAGAAGGGATATCCTTAAACTAGAACAACATCATCAGCAGGTAAAGCAAACACAACCGTCTTAGTTATCAGCAATGCAGCTGGTGTAGGTTTCCATTTATAACTTTCAAAGGTGCATGCATGTGTGGAGTGGATGGACATCTGAGAAAGCATATCCTGGCGCTTTGTACACTGCGACATCGAATGGTTGGATTGAATTCGAAGCTTTAGCGTAGTTCATGGCAAAACATTAATTCCCATGGGCAAAGATAAGAAAGAGTAAACGCTTCTAATTTATGACGGTCACATCACACACGTATAACTGACTGTGGTTGAAATGGCAAAACAACATAATATAAAAAACCATAAAATTGCCACAACACACAAGTCACCTTCTTCAACCACTTGATCTAAGCGTATTCATTCAAACCTTATAGACGAAAAGATAAAGACGCTTGGGATCAGGAAATGGTTAAATGGTAACGCACACATAAGAGCGAAAAGTTACCTAAGGATCAGTTTTCAGCGACAGTGGAGAGTTCGAAAAAATCTAAATTCCAATGTAATAATGTTTCCAGGGGCAAGTGCGCCTATGTCCATGTTTTACAATTTAACAGAAAATATCGTTAAAATATTGATAGAATTAATTTAATCGACTTTTTTGCGGCTACAAAGTTCCAAATATTGATAATTTAATAAATTTTTACTCATAAGCTAACATTTTTAAAAAAAAATTTGCATCAAAATCATGTATGCAAAAAATATTGCGCCCTTGCTCCGCCTGACCACACTTTGCCCTTGAGCCTGTGACCCTGCGGAATGACAAGGTCAATAATGCCTACTAAATTTATGGTTTTAGTGCCGTTCGTAAAACAGGGTAATTTGTTTAAATTTTTTTTTTTTTTGTAAAATATTAAAGCCATAGGCTTCTACTCCGTTTACATGTTACACCCTATTTTTTTTTCCTTTAGAACACATTAGTGCACGCGTAATTATTTAAGCATCCACCAACACTCCATTTTTTATTTACATTTTATCGACCATGGTACTCAAACGATAAGGTCTAGTGCAGGAATACCAAACCAATGGCACGCGATACAATATTTTGATCACAAAGTTCACTATGAAGTTATATATTACGGACGAATTTGTGTTGTTATATTTATGATTTTATAACCCCAATAAATTATTTGTCATCTAATTTGCAACAACAGAAGTCACTCTAATCTGCAACAACAGAAGTCAGACTAAAGTTACTTTAATTTTAATTACGCGTATAACTGAAACATTCATTACAAATGTATTTTGCAATGTATAATATAATAAATCTCAATAAAATACTCTTTATTGACTTTTTGTAGTGAAAAAAATTGAGTTGATAGTATTTAGTAATTAACCCAATAATCACGAAGTCAAAATTAATTTACGGCACGTCTATTACCTAATCAAACATTTCTTTGGAATAATTACACGTTCATACATAAAGGTTCGTACCCCTGACGTGAAAGGCATACAAAAAAGACAAACAGCAAAAATACAAAGGTAGTGTTACAACTTCATGTAATGTTATAATATGATGTAACCCATTGAGCTGTT